CGCTTGCGATGAGAACTCGCTCGTCAAGTTGGCCTCGCGGTCAAGGTCGACGCGGCGCTTGTCTTGGCGCTTGCTGTGGGCCTCACGGATGCCATCAACAAGGACGTCAACCGCATAGCGATGCGCGTCGTCAAGCGCCTGACCAAAATCGCCGCAAAGCGTGTGCGCGAGCACTTGGGTCCACTCGGCCACCGATTTTTGCGCTCATCAAGAGCCTCAACATCAATATCAAGATCGGTGCCGAGCGCGCGCTCTTGTACGTGCTCGAGGTTGCGACGCGCCCCTAGACCCTCGCGGAGTACCTCGCAAGCGCCGAGCAAGGCAAGCTCCTCGTCGAGTACGCTCTAGCTGCCTGTAAACGCAACTCAAATTGCATATTCAATTGCACTCGTATACTCTCAAGTGGCGACGGCAAGAGAGCTTCTGATGTTTCATTCGTTGCAAATGGCATGTGCCATATATAATTTCCTCATGATGCCGCAAATAGTGCAATTCGGCATCACTTTGGATACGAGTTTCGAGCGCTGTAGGCCGCGCACGACGGTGCAACTTGGTGCTCCGTGCTAAGCAAAGCAAACTTTATCACGGTACGGCGTAGGAACCATTTTGTATTTTGACCGACGTTGACTCGCCATCAAATCGCATCGGGAACGCGCTGCGACAACTTGCGTGTTATTAGCCACATTATCTGTATACCCGGTGCAGCATCACCAGGCCGCGCGATCGACCACTTTGCGTTCGAAAACGAAACGACCAAACCTTGGCACAATAGTAGAGGACGCTTTGGAGGGCATGGAAAGCGAGGTCGCATCGACGTACGAGGCGTACAGCGGTCGCGAGACGCGATCCAAGATGCGCGCCAAACTAAGATCGTAGTGCCATCTGAGAGGCACGGCGCTCTCGAGACTAAGATCGTAGTGCCATCTTAGCGGCATCACGCCAGGACGCCAACGCCGCTTGCCGACAATATCACGTTTGAAATAGGATCGCCCGAAGTTGGCATAGTGATAGAAGACACTTTAAAGAGTAGAGCAGACTGCGATTCGTCATCGCTGCAGGCCTACAACGCGTGCAATGCTCGACCACAAATACAAAGCGCTCTTAAACGTTAGAAATGCAAATGACTGCATTGGCACGCCGTAGGCGTCATCTTTTGCACTTGTAGCGACGATCTCCC